ATTTAAATGAGTACATTATTTTAAAAGTTGCTATAAAGTTATCAAATGAAAAAATACTATGTAGAAAAATACTGTAACTAATATTTACATTTAATAATTAATTAAAATATTCTATCAAGATGCTAATAAATACAAATGGAAAAATTGTTTTAACTATTTTATTTAAATTCCATTAGATAATAAAGATAATCTTATTATATAGATAATAATTATTCTAAATGTCTGTATTTTAGTTTTAATTAAAATGGTAAAACTGTAATAAAAATATTATATAATCTTATTATTTAAATTGACAATGTTATATTTGAAACACTGGACTATTCATAACTACCTCAATTTTTGATTGATTGATCAAAAAATAATTTGCAAATGTTTGACGCATACATTTATTTAATATAATTTTTAGCCTATATTATTATAATCAAATATTTATAACCTAGTAAATTTAAACACAATCAATGCAAATTCAGGTAAAATTGCGGGTTATTAATTGCAATTAGTTATAATAGATACCAGGGCAATACCAGTCTAGTTAATAGATGCTGGTAAGCTTATAGGGCTAACCAGGCCAGTGTTGTACGGTTGGTATGGGTTTTAACATTGGTTATAGCATAGAACTATTTTCATTTAATTATAATTTAAAAATTTACAAACAAAAAATGTTTGGCAAACAAAAATGTTCATATTGTAAAACTATTTTACATTAATTCAAAGGTAACAGAATTTCTAAAAATTAGTATTTGCATTGTACAAAATGATATAGAAAATTAAATTTAATAATTATTTAATATTTTATTTTATATTTAAATACAGCAAGACAATATTTTATAGTTAAGTGGTGTAAATTAAAATGAATATATGTTTGAAACAAATTCGGTAAATTATATTTAAGTAAATAAAAAATTAGAGTCAAGTAGATTATTTATTTTAAGTAGATGTACATTAACAAAAAAAATGTATTTTGCAATATTTTTTTAAAATTAATTGATTTTAACAAATAAAAATTGATTAAAATGATTTTGTTTTAACAATTTTGCGTTATTAAAATCATATTGAGTAAAACTATTAAATATGCTTTAATTAATTATTAAGTAGAGTTGTCAGGAATTTTTATATATAACAATTAAAATTGTGTTGAAAATAATTTTAATAATTAATATAATTGATTTTAACAATTTTTAATATACTACTTATACACTTGATCTTAATAATCATAAATATTTATTTGTGTACTTTATTATAATAAACTTAAAAATAATAACAGAAAATTATAAATTCTGTACAATAGAAATTAATAATTATTCGTAAATATTACTCAGGCTATTTTGTTTCACCAATTTTAAATTTTAATAATATTAACATTGTTTTCATGTACAGAACAATGTATTAATCTATTATTTTAATAAAATATTATTAATCTTTATTTCAATATAAGATTTTAATTTATCAATTAAATATAAACATTTAAATCGTTAAAGTAAAGTTGTTAAATTGAATTTTGAAATATTATCATGTTTACTTCATAAAATAACATTATTTTTTAATACGTAGATTTTTAATAAATTAATTCTAAAATATGTGCAAAACAATTAATCATGAATTTTAATTTTATATATAAGTAGACAAAAATTATAATATAAACCAGAATAATTTATTCTGCAATTTTTTTTAAAAATATTATAAGTAAATAATGCAACTTTTAAAACAACCATGTACAAATTACTAATCATTATGCTCATTGGCTGCGTGTGTAAGTATTAAAATATATAATAATTAAAATGTATTGTTAATTAAATATAAAATTATCATATTAATAAAAAAATGTTTTATAAACAAAATTACTAAAAAATAGCGCACAAAAATTAAATTAAATTTTTATCTATATCTAGATTATTTATTTACAAATATTCAATCACAATTACCGTTTCTGAGTTTATACTCACAACATTCCCTATAATTATTAATAACTAACTACATATAAACTACATAATCCTGTTTTGATGCTTTTATTTATGTAATATCTAAGCATTGTAGATCTAGATATTAATCAATTATTTAATTATTATTATTAGCCGTATTGAGTGCCGATACAATTGATACACCGGACGCGCGATGCGGCAGTGGATTTGGTGGTCGACCACATTATATATACATACCGGTGCACCATGACCATGACCATCATGCACCCATACTACCCGCATTTGCACCTCCTATAAATGGTCCAATTATTCCCATCAACGGTTAATGATTTAGACCATGATAATGATTTATTTTGCTAAATATGCTTGTTAAAAATTTGTAAACATTTTAACATTATCTTAACATTATAAATACATCACAATTAAATAAATGTTAATACATGTAATTTGATTTGCAATTAATTTATTTAAACCTGATATTGAATTTAAAATTATCCTGCTACGAAAAAATAAAATGTGCTAAAAAACAACTTGACTAATTACAAAAAAATACACACTATTAAGAGATAAACATGTAATACGAGGTAAATCTTGTATCTTTAATTTAACTACAGTCAACTATCGATGCTGTCAACAGAATGGTTCCTGAGATTTGGTTGATAACACAGATTAGTTGACAACATAGAGATAATTTTAACATTAGGTCTATGTGGTGGGGATTTGGGATTTGGTTGATAACATAGAGTAGGTGACAGCACAGATAGTTGACAGGATAGGTATTTGACTGTAATAGAGAATAATATTCCCTAAGACTAGTGTGGTAAGTTTGACAATATAATTGGCCAAGTCTTATCCATAAACTTGATTTGATTTAATAACTATACACTTTATTTATTTAAATAATTGTTTTTTATAAAATTAATTAAATTAAAATATTAGGTCTATATCTATGACAAATTTTTAATGATTCTACTATTATATTAGAAATTTAATTCTGTAAAATACAAAGCAATAAGATACAAAATTTATTATAATTTTAGTATACATTTTAATTTTTATGTACACATATAAAAATTTTATTTTAATCATAACATTATTTTTTAAAATTTATATAAAGTTATATAGAATAATACTGTAACAAAAATTCATTATATTAATTAAAATATTCATCAAAATGTTAATAAATATAGATGGTAAATATCTGTAAGCCTTTTTATATACAATGTAAGTAAATTAAATTAGATAAATAAAGATAATTTTATTATATAGATAATATTTATTTTAAATATTTGTATTTCAATTTTAATTAAATTTTTTAAAAATAGTATTTCTTTACTTGTACAACTTAATACTTTAACTTTATAAATATTGTTTATGCAAACTGTAATTTATTAATAAACATTGTATTAAAAGTACTCCAGATAAATTTTTAAAATAAAATGGTATAACATATACAATTATATGGTTAAATTATGCTAGCAAATTTAATATAAGATATAGAAAGTTATTTGTAAATAAACTAAATAGTAGATACCCATGTTACAATTTCTAGGCCACAATTTTTATTCTTCATATATTCTATGACATTAATATTATGCAATAATTTTTGTCAAATAAGGTGTAATAAAAATATATAATAATTTTATTATTTATAGTAACAATGTTGTATTTAAAACACTGGGTTGTCCGAGAGTACACCAATTTATAATTAATTGATTAAAAGATAATTGCAAAATTGTAAAACTTTAAAATAACTTTTATTTAATTTTTTGAACTATATTATCATAATCAAATATTTATGACTTGATAAAATTAAACACAATCAATGCAGGTCCAAGTAAAATTACGGGTTAATATTTGCAAGTATTTATAATAAGTAGCAGCCGGATTAATAGATGCTACTGTAATAAGATTATGGGGTTAACCGGGGCCGGTGCTGTACCGTTGGTATGGATTCTAGCATTTGTGTTAGTATATTGAATATAATATATTATATATGTTTATTACTATTTTTATTGAGTTATAATTCAAACATTTACATTATTGAATTACTAATTAATTGTAAATTTAACAAATGATAATAATTAAATTATTGATCATGAGTGTTTACAAGTTTTGTAATGTTGATCTTGTTTAAAAACATGTTAATAATACAGTGATGTAAACTCTAGAAGGTACCAGGAATTAATCCGGTTTATACAAACTAAACAATTTAATAATACAATTTTAATATTTTATGATATATATTAAACTGTACATTTACACTAAACATGTTCAGTAAAGAATAATATACATTATATTATAATGTATGCTATTTAATATAATATTATTTTATTATAAAGTATAAACTTGGATAATTACTTAAACATACTTATAAGGCTATTATATTAAGGCTGGACAATCATTGACAATAGTTTAAACGCTCTAGAATATAATTTATAAATAAGAGTATTACTATATAAATTAAAGCAACATATTCTTAATATATACCTGGTACATAGAATGCCCACATTTGGCAAACAAAAATGTTCATATTGTAAAATTATTTTACATCAATATAAAGTTAACAGAATTTCTAAAATTTAGTATTTGAATTGCATAATATGATAACGTAAAATTAATATGATAAATATTCAATCTTATATTTTATATTAAAATACAGAAAGATAATATTTTATAATTGATTGGTGTATATTAAAATTAATATATGTTTTGCTAAAAATTTGGTAAATTATATTTAAGTAAATAAAAAAATTAGTGTCAAGTAGATTATTTATTTTAAGTAAATGTACATTAACAAAAAAAATGTATTCTGCAATATTTTTCACAATTAATTAATTTTGAACAAATAAAAATTGATTAATATGATTTTGTTTTAACAATTTTGCGTCATTAAAATCATATGCTTTGTCTAAAACTATTAAATATGCTTTAATTAATTATTAAGTAGAGTTGTCAGGAATTATCAAAATTTTTATATATAACAATTAATATTGTGTTGACAATAATTTTAATAATTAATATAATTGATTTTAACAATTTTTGATATACCACGTATACACATGATCTTAATAATCATAAATATTTATTTGTGTACTTTATAATAATAAACTTAAATATTTATAACAGCAAATTATAAATTCTGTAATATAGAATTTTAAAATTTGTAATTTCATTATCAAAATCAACGTATGGCAACTCTATCCAGTTATATTAGTCATATTTGTAAAACCAATTTATTATCACAATTGAAATTCACAACTGTTATCTCACGAAATAACAATATTATTAGTAATATTTATCAAAAAAGAAAGTATAAAAACATGGTCAAAATATTCTATTGTGTCACCAAACAAACCAAGTAATATTAAACAGAATACAATTTGAAAAATATAATTTTATCATGTCTAATGTGGCAATTTTTGTACTGTTGAGCGCATTTGGTATGTATTTAAATAAACATTAAATCTTAAATAATGTACAAATTATTTAAACAAATTCTTACATTATTTCAAACTATAGCCGCAATGAACGCCATTCCCATCGATAAACCTGAGACCAAGTATTGCGGCGGTTATGGTTACGGGGGTTATCCATACTATCCATACTACCCGTATTTCCCGCAACAACCTGCCGGACCCGTTACCTGGCCCATAAACATAATCGGAGCCAATGGCACCGTAATCACTAACGGTACAACCCCGACTAACGGTACCGCCCCGGTCGGGGTAATTTTACCAGCATCCGTTAACCCAACTGGCACTGGCACTGGCCCCGTTCCCATTATAAATAATGGCAAATAGTTACTGGGTCTTTTATCTAGATCAGCCTTGCCTGTATTTTAAATTACCACTTATAAATATTTGACTATGTTACTGTAGTCACAAAAATTATTTTCAATAAAAATATAATTTAATCCTGTGCAAATTAATTTTTGTTGAGTATATGATCAGAATCCGGAATCTATACTCCATTATTGTCAATTAAAATAATAAAATTACAATATATTTTTGTTACAGTTTGATAATAAAATATAAAATTACTATAAATATTCTTGATACGTTTTATATTAAATTACTAATGAAAATTAAAATTACTTAATCTAAGGTAAGGTTTAAAATCTATATTAGTTTAAATTAAGAGCTGTGTTAAGTGTCAAGTATTTTATATATAAGTTTTAAGAGTTAAATTTGAAAACTAGAATTTTTAGCAATTTTAATATAAAGTAAAAAATTTTAGTAAAAAATAAGCATACACAGAGTCATTATATAAAAATTAAATAAATTACTTTAGTTATTTCAACTTGCAATGACTGTATAATAAACTTATTCATGATATTGTTTATGCCCTTAACATTATTTTAAAGACTTTGTAATTTATCATGATAAAAATTCTATTTTTAAATCTGTTAATTATAATTATTGCTTAATATAATAAATCAATACATGTTGCATGTGAGTTTTAAAATTATTCCAGTTTTAAAATTATAATTATAATATTGCATACTCTCAAATGGATAAATGTAATTTAAATGATAATTATCAAACAAATTTCTATTATTTGATTTATTAATTTTATTGCTTTTCATACATCTATCATAAAAATTAAATAATTATTTTTAGGGCATACCATTAAGGTCACTTTATCCATATAGTACATTTTTCAAAAATATATAAATACTAATTATAAAATGAATAAAGTAAACCAAATTTGTATTGACATTGTTAATAAACAAACAGATTATTTATTTTTGAAAATATACAAGATTGCTTTAATCGTGCTATGCGGATTTGTTTATAAGTCTATTTAAACAAAGCTCATCAATAAAAATGATCACGTTAATTTATTTAATTATCCGCTACGCGACAGCATGTACATTTGCCATTGACCTAAGCAATGTGCCGTGGTTAAATTGATGACCGACAAATACGATGGTTGCTATCGTGTGTATTACGATGTAGTAAATGAACAACTTCACCTTATTGGAAAATCAGTGGCCAGTGTTGGTAAAGGACTGGTGAATCAATATTTGTTTAACGCATACAGCAGTCAATACGATAGCGATACCGATAAGCCGATGCCCATAATTACATCCATTACTAAACAACCTGATAATAATTTGTTTTATTATATTGGCACCTAGTTGGCTGGCTACTCACCAGTTTACCATGCTTCAAAAAGCGGCTAATATAAATTTAGTTACACTGCTAATGCTTTTGACTAAATGAACATTGATGCAGTAATTTAATTTTCAAATAAAAATAATATTTGCTAATAACAAAGTGCTTATTGTAGCTAATTATTTTTGAATTTATATAAAAGTCTCTCTCTCTCTCTCTCTCTCTCTCTCTCTC